TGTGTCGAGTTTCGAGAGCCGGATTCGATCGGAAGAGCGGGTGGCTCTTGCTGATAAGTTGCGGAACCATCCAATCGTATACCTCGAGATACTAGCTGGCACTTTGGGAAGCTTGTTGATTCTTGTTCTGGTCTTGGTTGGCATTTGTCTTTGTTTTTCATCTTGATGGCGCCCTGAAGCCTAAACCCTGGACCCTAAACCCTAATCTCTACAACAGCCCAGGATGGTGTTGGCGGGATCGCCTTTAATTTGGTCCGGGCTGGAGCTCATGTTGCGGGTTCCACCAGATCCTCGCCCAGCTATCCAGTTTAGGGTTTAGGGTTTGGGGTTCCATCAGCTATCCAGTCGGGCTGATTTGTTGCGTTTGCCTCCATGTGTTTGCTAGGGTGTTATGACGGTTACGACTTGGGGTTTTGTTTAGGGTTTACTACGGGTTAGGGCGGTTAGGATCCGGGCAGCACGCTCTTGGACAAGTGACAAAACCTTACCAAGGAGCTGCAGCTACCGATGCTGATCAAGAAGACCTTCGAGTGTCTGGCGGTATTACCGAGCATCTTCAAGCTTTTGAATCTTGTGATCTACAAGCTGCGATTTCGCTTGCGCAGTAGACACTTGGATTTCTGCCTGTCTGTTGGCATTGCAGCAATGGGCATGTCAATGTTTTTAATGTACATGGTGATTGACGTTTACATCATCTACCGCTTCATTGTCAACCCGTTCGCTGCATCATTGATGTCAGCTTCACTGTGGTTGTTGCTGTTACTCATGGTGTGGACATGGATTAGAATGTAGATCGTGCCATGAACGGCACAAGTGGACTGCAGCATGCCGAAATTGGACCCTAATCCCCGGACCATACACCCCTAAACCCCTAAAGACCCTTAAACCCAAAGCCGTCAGCATTTCATGACGCTAGGGTCTCCTGACGGACCCGTGCCGATGCGTAACGTAGGGGCCTAGATAATTATCAATACTATTTTGAGTTTCCTTATTATAATTATAGTATAATGGGCCCCAAAACGCTATTCCAATTATCAAGGCCCCTAAATTACAGGGTCTGAGGAAGGTTAAGCTGGCGATGGGCACCGCCAAAGATCGGCTGTAGGGGCCCAAGTACAAATGCACCGAACAGGTAGATATGCAAATATATGTACATGTGTATATAATATACATATATATATATATACACACAAAAGAAAACGTATCCTTGCCACCCTTGCAAAAACAGAATATGGCAGCAGACCTTGGTCGAGTCATTGAGGCCTCTATACCCAGCCCTACAGCATAATGAAAGGTTACACCCTAAAACCCTAAACCCTAAACCCTAAACCCTAAACCCCTAAACCCCTAAACCCGAAACCCCTAAACCCCTAAACCCTAAACCTCCTGATGGGGTGCCCGGAAGTTGATGTAGCAACTAAGGAGCAGGGTTTAGGAGTTTAGGGTAAACCCTAAACCCTAAACCCTAAACCCTAAACCCTAAACCCTAAACCCTAAACCCTAAACCCTGAGGGTAAGGAAGTCGTAGTTCCCGATAGAGTCGGACAGACTTCTTAGAACCCGCTGGCCTCTAAATGGGGGTTTCCGAAAATAGGGGACCCTGATATAGTACCCCAAATAATAGGATCCTTATTATAAGGACCCCAAAATAAGGTACCCCTAATTTTCGGAAACTCCCAAATCGGGCTCCTGCATGATGATGGACCAGCACCAAGCGAAACCCTAACCCCTAAACCCTAAACCCTAACCCCTAAACCCTAAACGCTTGGGCTTTACGGGATGCCTGTCTAAACCCAAACACCCCGAGCTGAAACTCCCCAAGGCCCGGCTTAGGGTTCAGGATTAGGGTCTAGGGTTCAGGGTTTAGGGCTTGGGGGTTTAGGGTTTAGGGTGGGCGAGGAGACATGCACTCAGCTCAAGCACTTTGGGGTTCAGGGTTCAGAAGAGATCCCAGCCCACTAGAGGCTCTATATCAGCCCTTATGCAAGCCACCAAAGATCTCTCAGAGATCGGGAAGGGTTTAGGGTTTAGGGTTTAGGGTGCTGCGACCATGCCCAACTTCGCCTGGCCTCCTGACCTTTTTGTCCACGCCTTGTTGCGCCGTGGCATACGCCATTTCTGCACGACCCCAGTGTTTATCGAATTCGCAGCCCGCAGGGCCCAGGCATCCGATAACACCCCGCAATCCTCCTTACTTTCCACAAGCGAGAGGGCTTGTCCTTGTTTTCGGATTCTGAAGCAAACTGAAGCAAGGCCCCTAAACCCTAGCCCTAAACCCTAAACCCCTAGCCTTCGAGGGATCCTTCATAACAGAAAAGCCATCCTTGCCTCGCACACCACCATCCCGACAACAACGATACGTTCCTGGAGGTGTTGCGGGCGTAGGGATTTCGAGGGTGTTCAGGGTTTAGGGTTTAGGGCTTAGGGTTTAGGGATTCTCTGAGAGCCTCAACTTTAAAACCCGGTTGCCTTCATTCTAAAGCAAGCCTTGCCAATGCCCCAAAGAAGATCCTAAACCCTAAACCGAAATAAACCCTAAACCCTAAACCTTAAACACCAAACCGAAAAAAACCTAAACCCAATATCCTTGAAACCTCAAGGCTCGAAGCCCCGAACCCGCACCGTAAAACCCCCGAGCCTCGAAGGAAACCCAAGGCTGGTTTGGGGCCTAAAGCTTAGGCCCTACCCAGAGAACCCAAGACCCCTTCACTAAGGAATATACCTTAAAGCATAATATTAATTAAGGCCCCTATAATTTAAGGTATATTGCTTACTTAAGGTGTGTTGGGTTCTCTGGGTATATAAGCTGAATAAACCCTAACATGCTAAACCCCTCTGAAACCCTGGCTGCACCTCCAAAAGCCTACAGGTTCAAGGACATACACAGGGAAGCCTTCATAAGGAGCCCTAAGAAGGGCAGGTATGTTCAGGTCCAAGTAGGTGCGAAGATCTAAACCCTATAAACCCTAAAGACCGAAGCCCTAAACCCTAAAGCCCTAAACCCTAAAGCCCTAAACCCTAAAGCCCTAAACCCTAAACCCTAAACCCTAAAGCCCGAAGCCCTAAAGCCCTAAAGCCCGAAGCCCTAAACCATGCCTTGGGCCCTCGTATAGAGCCTCTGCGCCGGCGCAGCCTTCGGGACTGCTTGCTGCACGCCCACGGCAGTACTGATATGACGGGGAAGTCTCTAAGGCTACAAACCCTGAGCTTTACACCCTAAGCCGTAGACGTTAAACCCCAACCCTGAGCCCTAGAGGGTGTAGGGTCTTTTGTCGCGGTCTCGATTTCAGAATTTCACGATCCACTTTTTCGGGCCAGTTCCTGCACATTTGTGGCCCGTTTCGTGCATCCCTGTCAAGATCAGTTTATAAGAGGTCGGAATATATCTTTATATGTAGCACTTCTTATCGTCCCTAATATGACATGACTATTCTAGACAACAGTACAATGCGCCCCCTAAAACCTTGCATTCCAATCATCAGGCCCCTACCTTATGGAATCCTTAAGGGAGGGGGCTCTAAGGGGGGTATATAACCCAGTAGTCCCCAATTCTCCCTAGTACTCCGTTAGGTTCCCTAAAGCTCTCCAGGACCCTCCCTCCTTGGGCCACCCTCCCTTAAGGATCCTTCAACTATCTCGCGATTTTGGCTGAAGCCGAAGTTTCCCCATTTTCCCAGTCCCTAAACCCTAAACCCTAAACCCTAAGCCCTAAACCCTGACACCTCGCTATGGGAAGCAGCATGCCAAGCATCCGCGAACTCTGCAAAATTCGGCGCGCCGGAAACGTTTAAAACGTGTTTTCCAGCAGGATCTTGACGGCCGAGCATGGCTTGGCTCTTGGGTCTAGGGTTTAGGGTTTAGGGTTTAGGGTTTAGGGCTTAGGGCTTAGGGTTTAGGGTTTAGAGTTCAGAGTTTAGGCACCATCCTGGTGTTTGGCTTATAGGTTCTGCTTCCTCAAGGGCCATGGGTCAAAACAAATCTGAAGTGGGTTTAGTCTGCTTGTTTCGGGCTATATAAGAAGAAATCGGATACTAGTAGTAAATGCGGCAAAGCTTGAAGATACCGTCTTGTGGCCTCGGGCCCACAACTGTTCGCCTCGAGGTGACGAAAAGATGGGCTATGAGGGAGATCACGATTCTATGACAGTGATGCCGGTCAGGAGTAGGATCATGTGGGCCAGGATGACGAAACATGGTGAGTAGGATGTTGATGGTCATGATGAAGAGAATGAAGTGGTGTCAAACTTGCTGTTGATGATGATGATGGTCGTGATGATGATGGTGCTGATCATGATGGGATGACTGAGGTGATACGCCTACTAGGCCCAATTGTTTGTTCAGAAGATGGCTGCCTGCTTGCCTTGTTCTGCACTTGTTCTGATACCACTGGGATTGCTGCGAGTATTGCTATTGCATTCGCCGGGCCGGCAAGGCGTTTGCAATTGTATGTGCGCTCAGCACGAGTCCCAGAGACTCCAATACCCCCTTAATTAAGGGATATACCTTAAATTATAGTAGGAACCCTAATACGATTTAAGGTTTATTCCTTAATTAAGGGGTATTGGAGTCTCTGGTGTTAAGCTGGTGGAGGCGCGGAACAGGCTTTCTGGTCGGGCGGAGCTGCCATGGCCGCCCAGGAAGTTGAAGCATTCACGGCTTCTGACGAGAGCAAAACTAGCCAGTTCTGCGTATCTTCAACTAACCGCAGCAGCAAACTCTGGGTCTTGAGTGGTTTAGCGTTAGGGCTACCTTGAGTTTAAACCATTGAAGCTTTGCCAAGCTGTCGGTCGGTGACATGCTAGAGTCACCAGCACATCTTTCGATCCATTGGGGCCTGAACAATACAAATCTTGTACTATGCAGCGTACCTGTTTTGTGAGGGTTTGAAAGGGGCACATATGCCACATAACGTCTTTTAGTAGAAGCCTAAAAGTTGGAAACCTAATAGCCTCAATCCTTAAGGCTAATGTATAGGGAATCCCAGCACGATTTGTCCTTAATCGGGTTTCCAACTTTGGGGGTTTACTATAAGTTTACAAAGCCTTGGAGTACTTTGTAGGCTAGCGGCATTGTTCAGGCTCCTCCCCTTTCCTGATCCATCCGGCAGTAGCAGCGCCTTAGGTTTGACATGTCGTTGTTGATCTGCCAAAGTTGGGGTTCACATGTTGGAGCTGACGGACTGAGAGAGGGGTTTGGGTTTGATTTGGACCCATTTCCACCACCTGGGCTTCTCAGACAAAAGGCACAGGTCTGCCCTGTATAGTACAAAACAAATTAAATCAAACAGACTACTATGTTGTTAATTAATGAACTAGTGTTATATATAGTATATTAAACTATATAGGATTATTTCATGTAATAGAATGAATGCAGTTTAGTGTAACAGCATAGAAGATGGCATTCGTTATGCTTGAGCATGGTGCGCCGGAAGTTGCTTAGATGAGTACGATCTTGAAGTTCGAAAGGCAGGGAGAGGGCTTAGGGTTTAGGGTTTAGGGTTTAGGGTTTAGGGTTTAGGGTTTAGGGTTTAGGGTTAGGGAGAGGGCCTGCTCAGCAGAGTAGGTGCAGACCTTTTGGATGCACGAGCCTTTTGTCTAGTCTGAAGGCCCCCCCCCCTCCGAAGAATTTCAGAGCCTAGAAAGCTTGAAGCGAATATGGAATAGTGGCACAGGAAGTAAAAGATGCAGCAACCCAGAGCCCCCACAACCCCTAAACCCTAAACCCTAAACCCTAAACCGCAAACCGACAGCTCAGTCTCAGTGGCTGGCTTGTTGAAAAGAGTTGCTCTGCCTT